GGCCAGAGCCAGTCTGTGCCTGCCTCGCACCGGCGGCTGCTGACGGCCGCAGAGGACCCGCGTGCAGACCCCTCGGCAGCCGCTCTTGGTCTGGACGGTCCCTCCAGACGGCCAGGTGGCAGGTGCCTCTGCGAGGGTCTCTCCCCGCAGCCTGGGCTCCACCCTGGAGGGTCAGCTCCCCGAGAGAAGCCATAGTGGGGGGAGAAGGGGGTTGACGCCTCTTTTGCAAGAGCAGTGCTGAAGCCCTTTCCGGGTCGGGAACGGCGGGAATTGCGGAAAGCCTCGTCAGGAGCTCGGGCACCCACGGCTCGGTGAGTTGCTCAAGAGCAGAGGTTATCGCCGCGAGTTCTGAAAAGGGAAACACCCCTGGTGACCCGTGTTCCGGCTCCGATACAATCTGAGGAATTGAGTGCAGACCTCGCCCTGCGTGAGGCCCGGCCCCAAGCCTCATGCCCTGGAGGGCGGCAGCTGCCCCGTGACACGCAGTGAGGAGAGCAGCGTTTTGCTTGTTTGGGGCAGGTTTGTTGTGGTGACCGGCGGGCTTGTTGTCAGGGTCGGGAGAGGCATGCGCATCTCAGGAGGCAGACACGGAGCTGAGGCACCACAGAGGAACGTGGTCGCGGTGCCGTCTCCGGCCCGGCTGCGCCGCAGTCGGTCCTCGTGCGGCCCGTGTGGCTGGGGAGCTGGCAGGGCGGCGAGTTCTGGCTCCTCCGCATGGGACCGTGACAGCGTAGGTGGCCTGGCTAGCGCTAGACCTGGTCCTGTCTCCGACGGCACCCTACGTTGGTCTGCCTGCTGCCTTTACGTCCTCACAGCTGGTCACCTTGACGTGACCAGCGAGGCAACAGCAGGCGCTTAGGTTTGCTTACTGCGTGGCTCCGCCCAGCCAGGCCCGCACGAGGGCTTCCTGCGTCTCAGGGTCCTCAGCCTGTTGCTCAGGGAGCTCCCCGTCACGGGGTCTCACGGCATCCTCTCCTGGCCTGTGGGGCACAAGGGAACGGCCCAGGGACTGTGCCAGCACCGTTCACGCTGCTGCCCCTGCTGGCCCGTGAGGTCCCTGTGGCATCCAGCACCTGTCCCTGGCACCCAGCATGGTGCCTCCCAGACCCCGCAGTGTGCCCCACATGCCCCAAGTCTGCGGTGACGGGAGTCCCCAGCGTGGGGCTCTCTGGTCCAGTCGGCTTGCTCTGGCTCCGTGCCCCCCTCCCACGGGAGACGGGAGGCCTGTGGGGATGGGCGACCTAGCCATTGTCTGCAGAGCTCATGGATGATCTTTACAGAAATTTTCTAAAGTTCTTCTCTGTTGTGTTTTCGTCAGGAGGCTTATACCTCACGGACCTGATTAAACTTAGGAGGTCCCCTTTGGACCAGGGATGGAAAAGAAACCAGGTTAGCACGCAGTGAGTCGCACCTCTGCCTCCTATGCCTCGCTTTCCACAGCTGTGTCCTGGGGCCAAGCTCTGGGTCCTCCTGGCCTAGCGGAGGTGTCTTTGCTGCTGACGGCTCTGCCCGTGTCCCCAGCTGTCATCGAGGTGGGGCCTGCCACACATATCTCCTACCAATACGGGGTCCTCCTCCCAACGTGTAGGAGATGATTTCTTTGATGCTTCTCAGCCCCCAGCAAGCATGTGGGGCTCACACAAGTCGCAGACGCCAAGCTCACAGCCCACCCCTGCAGCCCACACCCTGGGGAGGAGGTGGCCCTGGCCCAGCAGGCACGATCCTCCAGATACGTCCCTCTGTGTTCGCAAGATGCGTTTTTTCCTCCCCTCGCTACCACGAAAGCTTCAAAATGAAACTGTACACACATAAGTGTCTGTCACTCACGTATCAAATCTTGCTGCTGGGTGATTGGCACCTCTGGGTCATTTTGACGTCTGCTGGTGCCTCTTGCACTCTTACTGCATGAGACAGACGTGGCTGGAGCGTGCTCTGGGCGAGGCAGCGAGTCCAGTCCGTGTGTGAGTGGCTGCCCTGATGTTGTCGGCGTCACGCTCCTCATCTCTCAAAGCGGGTTTGCCGAGAGCACCGTGGTGAGACTGCTTTAGCTCTCTGTGTGGGAACCTCACAGAGTTTTTTACCCTGACGTTTATGAAGCGAGGGGGTCCGTGGCAGCCTGGTGCAAGCGCGTCGGAAAATAGCGTCAGGGGCAAGCGTGCTCTGGTCCCGCCTTGGAGCCGTGTGCGAGGCCACCAGCCGGAGGGTGGGACGTGGCTCAGCAGGTTTGAGGGCATCGGGGAAGGAATTTAAGGGACCAGCCGGGTTTGCATTTTGAGAAGTATCAGAGGGAGATGAGGCTGGAGCGAAGGGACCGGAGGAGGCCGTTGGCCCCCAGGCGAAGAGAGGGCGCGGGGAAGGGGGCGGGGCTGAGAAGCAGCTGCCGGTGCTGGCCACACGCAGCTTGCGGGAAAGAGGCAGGAGTGCGCGCCCAGCCTGCCTGTGACACGGGGCACGTTGGAATGGGGCGGCAGCGGGGCCTGGTGAGCGGTCCCGCGGTGGCACCCGGGAGTCGGAGCGCAGACTCCAGGCCGCACAGGCAGGCGGAGGAGGGGAAGGTCCGTCCTCCAGGGAGCCCTGCGGAGTGGCAGGGTGGGCGGCGCGGAGCTCCGGGGCCGCCTCCTGTGCCAGGTTCCTGCCTGGCTTCCTTCGCCCCTCAGTCAGCTCGCCCTGCCTGGGCCCTCGGGGGCGGCTCCTCCGGGAGCGCGTGTGGCTGCCCGGCCCGAGCCGGGCTCGCTGCTCGTGCCGCCAGAGCGGCTGTGCCGGGACTGGTGTCTCCCGGATCCCAGTGAGCCGGCGGGGGGTCTGCTGTGGGCGGGAGGGCAGCCCAGGGTCAGGACCCTCCCCACTGGCCTCAGCCTCCGTCTCCTCCCCCGGCCCCAGAAGCCAGCCGCAGGGGCACCCGGCTGCTCTCAGCCCGGCCACACGACAGCCGTCTCCTTGCCGTCTGGCCACGTCTCCGGCTGTCACGCCCTGCGGCCCCGTCTCCTCCAGCCGGTCCCCTCTCCACCCTCAAACCCTTCTTCCCAGTTCCAGGCCTGCCTTTGTCCTGCTGACCCTCCCGGGACGTCCCTCCGCACGGGGACAGACGAGGGGCAGCTCCTCCTCCCCACGCACCGGCCCTCCCCGCCAGGGCCGCCACTTCCCTTCCTGTGGCTCTATCTGGTGGTTTTACTTTCTAAATACCTTCAGGAGCATTTTATCCCATTCTCCTTTCGTTTCCACCGTGCAGCTCTGTGTCTGCCTTGCTAATTGAACCCCCGCTGGCTGCGCACAGGGCGGGGCGTTCCTGGTTTTCTCTCTGTCCCTGTCCCTGTCCCTGCCCTGCGTGGGGCCCGGCCCACACTCTTATCTGGAAGGTGCAGGCTGGACGGCTCACGCTGCTCGCTGCAGAGACCTCCCCTTGGTCCGCGTGTCACAGCGGCCCTTGGCGGGTGCCCCTTGCATGTCATCAGGCCCGCCTGGCACGTCTGCTCCCCAGACGGGGGTGGGGTGTAAAGCTAATTAATACGCGGTGTTCGGAGGCATCCTGGCCCGAGGTTGTTCTTTTCCTGCTGGTGGCGTCTCTCTCGCTCTTCGAGCACCGGTGCACCGAGTCCTGCAGCAGACCTGGACGTATTTTTGGACAGTTCTTGAGTCCCGAGTCACAGCTTCGTCTCCGGGCTGTTGCACTGCGTTGGCTGAGACTCTCTTTCAAGCCTAAAGGTGACAGCCCAAGGGGGAAACATCCTGCCATGCCCCCCACCAGGTTTTCACTTAACACATCAGAGATCCAGCTCGGTAATTCCTCACGGTGCTTTTTGGAAAATTGGCTATTTGTTGTTTATCCAGCCAGGGATCCCCTGCTCTGTGACTATGCTGCAGACAGTGGGTTGGCGCAGAACAAAGGCTTGTTCGCCACTGTACGTAAAGTAAATCCGTGGCATTACTGGTCTGCTTAGTGACACAAAGAATGGCAGGGTTATGTGTTGCTCCCTCCCGTAGGGCCGGGGTAACCACATATCCAAGCCGCCAGTAACCACATTCCGTGTGTGTGCGCATGCACGTGTGCACATCTGTGTACAGATTCATGTGTGCATATAGCATGTTGGGAAACATCATGTCTTAGTTTCCTGCACTTATTAAAAAGTCCTTGGGTGCATGGAGTAATGAGAAAACGTCGATATATACTTAGGGATCGAGACTGCAGGAGTCTGCGCTCCCCACACACAGAGACCGGAGCTTGCCGAGGCGTCAAAGAGCTGCTTTGCCCAACGCGTCTTCAGGGCACTCAGCTCTGACACGTTAACCAGTTCTGAGTCACCTGGTGTTGCCAATGAGCCGTTTCGCCCCGTTAGTCAGTAACCGCTAACGTGATGCTTCTCTCTTTGCGCCTCCTGCCCCCGTGCTTTGTGGGAAGAGAGAATCACAGTGAGATCGAGAGGCGCCGGCGGAACAAGATGACGCAGTACATCACGGAGCTCTCCGACATGGTCCCCACCTGCAGCGCGCTGGCCCGCAAGCCGGACAAGCTCACCATCCTGCGCATGGCCGTGTCGCACATGAAGTCCATGCGAGGCACCGGAAACAAGTCCACGGATGGCGCATACAAGCCGTCCTTCCTCACGGAGCAGGTACGCCTGAACTGCCACCATGCGCGGGGGAGAGTCGGTGTCGCCGACGTGGCGTAAACTAGGTGGGTGGCGGGGTTCAGGGGGGAAGGGACGAGGCCAAGACGTTCTGTTTCCGCCGCTCACCGCGAAGCTCTCTCCTAGAGCGTTCGTCTGGCCTCTGGGCCTCCTGCTTTTGGGCTTCCAGTTACCTGAATGCGGCGTCACTCAGGAAACACAGCAAGCGTCTGCGCACTGTGCCTAGCGCACGGACGCGGGAGGAAGTTCGTAAACGCTCTGCGCTAGCAGGGCGGTGCCGGCAGTCGTCCCGGGCTGTGGTAGCAGCAGTGACACCAACAGGACCACAGCATTTGCAGGGACCTGGTCCGATCACCTCTTTCTGTGCACTGTTTCATGTGCTCTTTGATGCGGCCCGTGAGGAAGCCGCTGTTATCCATCCCGCGTTACTGATGAGCAAGTTGGGTTCTGGAGAGAGTCGGCAAACTGCCCAGAGCCAGTCCGCGGCTTAGTGAACGAGCCAGCACTTGGTCCAGTGAAGACAGGTTGGCAGGACCCCAAAGCCACACTTTTAACACCTGTATTCGTCTTTGAATATTTGGGAAGAAGAAACACAAGAAATGGCTAATGAGGTAGTAGTTTATAAATGGACCTACACGAGCCAGAGGCCGGTGTTTGGAATCTCGTCCTTCCCTGTGCTGGTCGTGGGCTAATCGGCAAATACCGGAGACTTCAGTTTGCTCTTCTGTGAAAGGAACTTTTTACCGTCCTGTCTCTGAGCTTTTGCAGGAGAAATGAGATGACAGATCTGAAAGCACTTTGTACACAGTGAGGGGGAAAAAGGTAAAATTGTACAGGTGTCAGGGAACGCGTTGGGAATGCAAAGGGACGTCGAGTGTAGGGTCTTGGAGGTCATGTTGTATTTAACAAGACACAGAGCATGTGGCCAGAACGAAATAGAGTGGAAGTGGCCCACTGTCACTGGGGGACTTTTTAGGACAGAGAAAGCACTGGCAGGCAGCCTCGGGTGGGAATGAAAAAGACGCCGTCGGGAGACAGAATCGTCTACTGTGTTGGAGCTGAGACTCTGCTCCCGTCCTGGGAGCTGGGTTTGGAAAAGGGGCAGGGACTGTTCTCTGGTTACTGTCTGCTCTGTGGCAGACGTTTCTGCAAGAGCTTTACCTACTTGATCCCTTTTTAAATCATCCCCGTGGTTGTGGCAGGTGTCAGGAAGGAACGGCCATGGTGCTGTCTGCCGCCTGCAGGACACGGGCTCCGAGCCTTGCTGCCACCTCTGAGAAGATAAAAGCAGTGACACTTCCCAGCCCGCGTGGCTGTGACGAGGAGGGCAAGTGCAGACGCGGGGCTCGGAGTAGGTGCAGGCTGAACAGCTGGCCGGGGACCAGACAGAGACGTATTAAGCGCAGAGAACTGCTAGGGCCAGTGAAATGCTTTTTCCCCGACATTTCATTAATCCTGACAAAAGCCTGCAGGGCGATGTTTAAAATGAGTCTCTTTGACTGTGAGGGACTAAGGGTGAGGAAGTGGAGTGGAGTGAGAAGGAGTCACACCCCTGTGCTCTCCTGGCTGCTTGGATGGTGCTGTTAGTTGCATTTATGGAGCACCTACTGTGTGCCAGGCTCTCTCTCAGTCCTCCACACGCAGGATCTCCTTGAACTTCACAAAATCTCACTGAAAAAACCATGTGAAAACCAAGCTGACCATGTGCAGTAACAGGCCCAAAGTCTCCCAGCTGCGCGGAAGAGCCTCTTTCTCTAAACGCAGGCCCTTAGCCCTGGCTGCGTGTCCCCGGCAAGCGAGGCAGGGCTGGGTCTGCGTTCAGGACGCGGGACCTTGGCAGCGAGTGACGTGGCCCGGAAGCTGAGCATCGGGGAGGAGGGCGGTGGACGGAGGGTCTGCGGTGAGGGTGCGTCTCCTTCCCCGCGACCTTCCCACGGTTCCTGCAAACTCGACGAAACAGAGATGCACGAGTGAAGTCACTCGGCCCCGTTTCCCTCCCCGGTGACAGAATTCTCCGCTGCCCCAGACATCCTGTGGCATTTTTTTCTTTTCACACATCTTCCTGTCGGGAAGATCTTCCCAATACTGAAAATAAAAGCGCTGACCCCTTCCTGTGAGCTCGGTGAGAACCTGGGAGACGCTGAACAGAAGCGCAAAGCCAGAGAATGGGCAAAGTAGACTTTTCCTTAAAACACGCCTGTGCCAACTGCCTCCCCCCGTTTCCCAGGCAGAGGGTGTCAGGATCCTCCCAGCCAGGGGCTTAGAGGCCCTGGCCAAGCCCCCCAAGTTCTCACCAGCACATTGGTGCTCTCTAGCCTCTGAGTCCTCGGACCCCCCCGGGGACTGGGATCAAGGCTCTCGACCCCTGTCTTTCACCCCCACTCGGGGGCCGTCACCGCGTGGGCAGCAGGGTCTCCGCGTGAGATCACATTTGAACGCAGGGTTCCCAGCAGAACGTGTTTGCAACCACTGATCTAGAAGGACACCGTTGCCCTCTGGGGTCTGAATGGTGCGTGCATCGGCTGAGGGTGTCTGTGGACTCCGCACACGGGAGGAGCCGGGCCTCACACCCACGGATGCAGAGCCGTGTCACTCGGCAGCAAAGGGCTCCTTAGCTCCCAGCGAGAATGTCACGGGTAGCTACAGACAAAAGGCATCTTATTTTAACAAAGCTGACTGTGCCCCGTCCCCATCTGCCTGGAGACGATGGCCATGGCTCATGCTGCCCAGTCCTTGGTCCCGAGCAGTTTCCTTCCTGCCTTTAGTGACAGTCATGACCCTGGTGAATCAAGGTGACCCCAGGGCTGCTGCTTCTTCCGCTTCTCTCCGTAAAGTGATACGGATAATGCTACATGCCCCGCTGCCTCCCGGGGCCACTCTGGGAGTCTGCTGAGATCATGGCCATGACTGCCAGTTCCGGAAGCCCGTCAGCCTTGCGGATGTAGGGGTGCTCTCATATCCGGTGAGAGATACAGTAAGAGAAGAGGAACCAGCGTGCACTGTCAGCGTGGCCGGCAGTGGGCAGGAGACACAGGGTCCTTTTCCTTCTCTCTTCTCATCTTCCCTTGCTCCTCCCTTCCTTCCACCAATGCCTGTGTGCCAAGCACCATGTGCTGGGCCCTTCTGGTCCAATGACATGACTTCAGTTTCAATATGCGAGTGCAGCTGTTTGCACCTTTGGCAACGGTGATCACCCATTGCTCTCCCATCCCCCCAGGCTGGAAATTTTCTCTCTCCCTAAGAGAGGACTAGTAAGGACAGGACTAATAGTGTTTAAAGTAGCTGTATGTTAGGGGTGGGGAAAGCTTTGTGCATTTTTCTAGCTAAAATAAGCTAAAATACCCAGTTTAAAAAAAAGCACCTGTTTCCCAAACTATTGATGTACCAGAATGAATATCTGAATAAGAGAAATTGAAGTTGCTAATGAGAAAGTTTAATTGGCCTAGGTCTGTCGTGTGTTGTGCTAATCACAATCTTTTCTTTCCAGGAACTGAAGCATCTCATCCTTGAAGCAGCTGACGGGTTTCTGTTTGTAGTGGCTGCTGAGACAGGGCGAGTGATTTACGTGTCCGACTCGGTCACCCCTGTTCTGAACCAGCCCCAGTCGGAGTGGTTTGGGAGCACACTCTACGAGCAGGTGCACCCCGACGACGTGGAGAAGCTCAGAGAGCAGCTGTGCACGTCGGAAAATTCAATGACAGGTCAGTGTAGCTCCCTTTTTCAGCAGAATTCTTTCAGCATGCAGACCAGGAAGCTGGAGTTCATTAAAAACTGCCTAAGGGTGAAGGAATATATTTGATTTGGCTTGTGTAATGGGTTCATTCACTCTACACATTTTTAAAAATCCATTTGTAATGTTACCTTTTCCTATATTTTACCTGCAATTTGTGGACATGGCCACTAGGAGTCAACATTAGTCAGGTCCACGTGCTGCATGATGAGCTTTCGCAGCAAGTGCGTGAACGTTTGTGACCCTGACCACAGACATTTGCTACCCAAACCACAGCTACCTGAAATGTAGTTTCTTATTAAAACATTTAAATAGTCAGTTCTACTGTAACATAACACACATGTTCCTAAAAGATCACTGCAATATATGGAATCACGCAGTAAAACCTGTAGGGCTTGTGGGGAAAAGGGGGTTAGGAGTACAGCACTCAGTAGTTTGTCAGACAAAAGCAAAAATAAGAACCTACTAAACATGGAAACACAGCTTTACACATCATATGGTTAAGAAATTCACAAATACGACCATAAATATGGCACTGGATGTCGAAGTGCTTATGGAAGTCGTCTCAGAAGGTGTCGCCGCTTGGTGTCATTGCGAAGTGATAGGAGGACAGTCACATGAAGTCAGAGGATTTGGCACCAAATGTGGACGAGCGGGCCTGCAGCATGCAGTGGACTAAGAGAGCTGACAGGTGTCCAAGGTGTGTGAATTTGGCGTATTCCTCTGCGGCTTAGTTCAGCCGAGCACAGTTTTCTGTGTTTATCTGGTATATATTTCTCACAGATAAGCAAACACAAGATCCATATTATGCTCAGACTGTTCTCTAATGTATGAATACACTGGAACAAATGCGCATTCTCACAATAAGAGTTACAGAAGCATTATACCCAGACATTGGCACGCTGCTGTGTGATGCATGTATTTGTGCCGTGGTGTTCTCCGTGACCATACCGTGCGATGTCGGATTCTCACTGTTTTGCGTTTTCCCGTGGCATCAGCTCAGGGCTTTGTGCCCTGTAGGCCTTTAGTCGGTGATTTGCTTATCATAGTCATAGAGCCCAGGCTGCCGTAGCAGGATACCGTAAACTGGGCAGCTCTTGAACAACAGAAACTTATTTCTCACTGTTCTGGGGACTCGGAGTCCAAGATCAAGGCACCAGCAGATCTGGTGTCTAGTGAGGGCCACGCTCTGGTTCATGGGTGGCAACTTCTGGCTGTGCCCTCACGAGGGGGAAGGGACCAGCCAGCTCTCTGAGATGTCTTTTCTGAGGACACCTCCCAAAGCCCCACCTCCTAATACTACCCACCGTGGATTAGGGTTTCAGCACGTGGATTTGGGGAGACGTCCTCACACCACCCACCGTGGATTAGGGTTTCAGCACGTGGATTTGGGGAGACGTCCTCACACCACCCACCGTGGATTAGGGTTTCAGCACATGGATTTGGGGAAACGTCCTCACACCACCCACCGTGGATTAGGGTTTTAGCACGTAGATTTGGGGAGACACAAGCATTCAGCCCACGGTGTCCAAGATCAAAACGCAGCAGGTCTGGCTTTTCCCGTGGTTTGCAGACTGGCCCCTTGCCGTGTCCTCGCAGGGCCTTCCCTCTGCGCACGGATCCTTTGTGTCGCTCCCTCTTGTGAGGACACCGGCCATGTTGTGCTGCCTACATACACGTTGGCTCACCCATACGACCTCATTTAACCTTAATGACCTCTGTATGGGTCCTTTCTCCAAATACAGTCACATTCTGAGGGTCTGGGGGTCAGGACTTCAACAGGTGAATTGTGGGGGACACGCTTCCACCCACAGCACTGATCACGAGCAAATCAATGTTGTCGAGAGCGACAGAAGTATGGCTGTTCCTGAGGGTGACAGTGATTTTCTCCGTGGTAGCATCAATGACGTCTCCGGGGAGGGAGAGGAGAGAGAGGTCAGGCATGAGGACGGCTCCGTGTCCCGGCACCGAGCTCTGACTGCTTGCAAGACAGCAAAGAAGCAGGCTCAGAAGGCCTCACTGCACCACCCGCTCCCCGGCTGAATTAGCGAGCTCCGTGTAGAACCCTCCGGAACATACCTTGTAAAGTTAAATACTGGGGAGGGGTATAAGAGGGAAGACAGGCCAACCAGAAAATGTTGGTTTGGCAGCTGAAATCACTTCCTCTGGAAAGAGCTGTCTTTCCCCAAACTTCCACATCTGACCACAGGACGTGGCTTCTGGGAACAGTCCCGAGACCCCGCCACGGCAGACGGCAGGGAAACGGTAGCCAGGGGTGGGTCCGGCTCGGTCAAGGGTGCAGCTCACTGGCTCACCAATGTTGGTGACATTTCTGTCCTTGGGAAGACTGACTGTGTCTGGCAGAGTTTAAAGGGGCAGTGACCACATTTGCACAGAAATGTCCTTGGAGCGTCCAGGCAGCCAGAGCAGGTGCAGCGGAGCCAGTCCGGATGGCAGGGCAGCCAGGTCGGGGGCGACCAGCCGGGCCTCTGAGCTCTGCGCCCAGCTTGGCTCCTCTGGTGGGGAGCAAGATGGTGCTGGAGGAGGCTCCAGAAAAGAGGACAGGTCTCTCTCAGAGCCACAGAGTGTGATGTGACTGTCCCAGGCCTGGTGGGAAGAGCTCCCCGTGGCGAAGCTGCCACGCAGACAGGCCTGGGATCCCTGGCCCTCAGGGCAGGCAGGAGCTGGCTTCACGCATAACCAGCCCAAGTGCAGGTGTCATAAAAACCCGTGTTACAAATCCCCAGCGTGACTTGGTGCCTTCGATTGTGGCCTAGGGTCTCTCAAACCCTCCTGTCCCTGTCCTGTGGTTTCAGGCCCTGAAAGAGGTGACGTGGTCCGCTTGGAGGCGGTCGGGGTGGAAGGGTGTGGGACCTGGCAGAGTGGGGCGTTTAACTCGGGCGGCCTCACTCCCTCCCCGGGGGGTTCCCTCCTCAGAGCCTCTCAGTGCTTAGTCGACATCGCATTCGTGGAACGCCTCGGGCCGCCTCTACTACGCGGCGGAGGTGCGTGTGTGCACGGGGAGCAGGGACAAGAAGCCTGACCATAGCGGGGCTCGCGGACAGGGTGCTGCTAGCGCAGGGCTGCGACACCTGGGGGCTGGCGATGACGGGGTTCTCTGTGGATTAGATTTTCCCTGGCTGGAGGGGTGGTCTGAGAAGATGCACAGTCTCCTTGCAGGCGTCACGGGATGGTGTGGGCCAACGCAATGATTTGATTTGTCTATGAATAAAAACTAGAAATTATTGACATCGAGAGAGAAGGGGTAGAGCCCTCCCCTGGTGACAGTGATGTTGCCAGGAGAGAAAGTGCTGGAAAGGGCATTGGGAGCCCCTGTTCTTATTCTGGTTTTCACTTGGCAAGTTCCTTTCTTCTCTGACCCTCATTCCCCTTACCTTAGCCCAGGAAATTTCTAAGGTTTCTTCCAGCTTTGATTCCATTCTCATGCCCAAGGCCCCCGTATAGGATTTAATCCACCAAAGTAGGAAATGGCGGGAGGAGAGGACCAACAGCTGATGCGAACGAACACCAAAGAGAAACTCGTCCCACGCCCTGCCGAGCCTGTTCCTAGGACCCTCCACCGACAGGCGTGGGAAGAGGGCCAGCATCGTCCTGGGGGCTGAAGGGCCATGTGGAAAGTGTGTCCCCTCTCCAGGACCTGGGTGGGCAGTGGGGTGGGGCGACCACTGCGGAGGTGTCTTTTCCATAGCCCATAGGCGGAGAAACCCCACTCTCTCAAGCACTGATTTTGACAGGCAGATGCAAGGGACCTGTCATGTTAAACTGGACACACACCTGCAACGTCTCTCCACCATCAACGCCCGGGGAGGACGGGACTTTGTAGGGGTCAGGATGTTGGGGACTGGACATTCTAGAGGGTCGCAGGGCCAGCCGGGGGAGCCGGTGTCGTCCAGGGACCTGCGTGTTTCCAGGAAAGAGAGACTGTGAAACTGGCCTGGGTTCCAGTGACAGAAAACCACCCCCAACTGGCTCGAGTGACAGAGAAATTTACGGAAAGGGGGGTTGCTGGCTACGAGCCCAGAGGGGTCCAGGCGAGCGACACTGCTCCCAGAAGCACAGGCAGTCTTCGTTATTTGTGGATTGCGCATTGGCGAATTCACCCACTGGCCAAGACTTACCTGTAAGCCCAAAACCCAATACCTGTGGCCTTCGTGGAGGTGCACAGAGCAGTGACAAATTGGAGTCACCTGAAGCTCACGTTTCCAGCTGAGGTGGAACAGAGCGACACTCGCGTGGCCTCTTGTTTCAGCTCCTACCTGTAAACCAGTGCCCCTTTCGTGGTCTATTTGGGACCAATGTTTTTCTGCATTTTGGGGCTTTTTGTTGGTGTTTAGCTGTTTAAAATGGCTGTTTGGATCGTGCTGAAGTGCTGCGCAGAGTCCCTGGGTGCGGGGCGGCTGCGACGGGCCTCACGGAGGGAACAGGCGTATCAGATGAGCTCCGCTCGGGCACGAGCTACAGCGCTGCTGGCCGTGAGTTCCGTGTTAATGAATCAACAACACGGGCTGCATCCTCCATCTTTAAACAGAAACACACATGAAATAAGATCACGTACCGATCAGTCCGTAAGAATGTTACAAACAGAGGTTTGCAGGACCCTAACCCTGTATTTCCCCTAGGAGCGCTGGCTCCACACTTGCTAACTCGGTGTTCACGGTGACTCTGTAGACGGAACTGCGTCGGATGATGAGCGTCGACTGTGTATTCTCCCGCTGCCTCCCGGCTTTGCTTTCCTGTGCGGGGCTGAGTCCCAGGCAGGCTGTCTTGACACGGCGACAAAGGTGTTGGCCAGCAGCTCTGGGGTCCTGTTTCCCCAGTGGCGCCGCGCCGGCAGAGACGGCGCCTTCCTGCAGTAGTTCTGACAGATGTCCCAGGGCTGGTTCTCCCAGCTCAGTGTGTCCACCTGCCCTGTCCTGACCAATCCGATGGCCGGGGAGATGCTGAGCCAGG